AGAGAGAGAGAGAGAGAGAGAGAGAGAGAGAGAGAGAGAGAGAGAGAACGGGGGAAAATCAAGTGCAGATGTTACTTTTCCACGATGGAACAGTTTAAAATCTGGATTTCTATTCAAGTCTGTCCCGAAGCGTAGCTCAGTTTTTAACTTATCATCCAAAGTAAACGTCTGGAAGCCTTTTTCTTTGAAACATTCTTTTTCCCCATTTCCTGCGTATTTGCGTTAAAAGCTTTTCTCAATTTTCACAAAAGTTTCTCCACTTTTTGAAGTCCGACTTTCAGACCGATTCGACGGAGTACAAGTAATCGTCTCAGATGCGATTAATAGCTTCCCCTCTTCGCGGGCGAAAATATTGTTTTCCCTCCTCTCGTTCCACCGATAACGAGTGTCCCGTTAATTTAACTTTTTAAGCTTAATTTAGCTGCTTAACTCAATTTCTTCCTAGCTCTCTTTCTCACAGTTAAGAAACACGTTTCCTCTTCAAAATTCTTTTTCGCCTTTGTCTACTACCATCACAGATCTCTTCTCGTTCATTTCATTTTTCCACATTTCAATGTTCGATATAGTTTTATAAAATTTCATACACACTTTTTATATATTACTTCAGAACTTCGCCCATTTTCTTCTCTTATTCAATGTATCATTTTCGAAAAACAACGCTCCGCTATAATCTAATCAATCTGTAACGTAAAGAGAAAACGCAACACTCTTGGGAGCGAAGAATAAATCACCGTGGCCAAACGTGGAAACAAAGTTTTCGAATCCAAATATATCTATCGTATCTATCGATCTAAAGTTATTATCAGAAACAGATTCTCTCCAAGAGGAATCGGACGATTTCACATTCATTGCGCACAACTTTCTGACGTTTCGTTCAACTTAATTTGGAAAAATCTTAATTCGTTCTAAGCCATCGAAAGTGAGCAAGTGTTCGGGTGTCTGGGCTTTGCTGGTCTGGAATTTGCGAATAATACCGGTGCGCGCAGAGATTCAGAGTTTCGAAAGTTTCGGTTGTACAGTTACCACTGCCATCTGCACTAATCGCGAATCTGAACATTGCTGTCTAATTCAATGTAACAAAGTTCTGAGCCGGACTCCACCAGCAACCTCTCTCTCAACCCACGGCAAAACTGAAATAATCGTTACGTAAACAACGCTTGGGATCCGGTCCCTCGTAAAAGGGCGAGGCCTTGAAAGAAATAATCCCCTCGGATTACGCTAATTGTATTCACTCGAGAGGTTAAGACGCGTGAGCCGAGTTAACGACGCCTCGACATATCTTCTTTAAACCGGAAGAAATATGTATCTTGAGCTGTGTTATAAATCTTCTTTTTTCTTCTTTTTCTTCTTTTTGCTTCGCAAGATTATTCGATGAACGAATCAAAAATTGATGATATAAAATTGATAAGAATACCTATACCTATTCTTGGTATTTTCTCGTATCGATGCCACGTCTCTTCATAATTAAAGATCCTATTTCCAGTGTATTACGAATGAATGGATGAAAAGTTCTCTTGCATGCTCATAAATTCAATGCAAAAATGATTATTCTTTATAAATATAACCTAACTGTGTTTAAAAACACAGTACTAAAAAAAAGAAAAAAAGTAAAAGTAAAAGTTAAAAAAAAAAAAAATCAACGAAATCGAATAATCATATAACGGAGAAGCAATTTCAATTTCTAAATGCAATCGAGACAAAATCTATTCACAGGTTATTGAGAAATCGTGCATATCTATCGTGGCTTCCTTTCTTCGTAGGCAATTTGAATGCAAAACTCTTTCCCCAACAAGAGCCATTCACGAGTAATCAACAAGCCATTTCTCCACTTGATAGAGAGCTATATATGCCGACACAAGATCGAGCATGCGTCTCGAATTCTCTCCGTCTTGCCACGGAGGCCAAGTGACCATTTTCCATGGCCAAGTGGTACACGGAAGCGTGC